GCCAAACAACCATGAGTTCACACAATAATAAAAAAATCTCATCAAGTTTCTTTTTTTTTACAATTTTTTTTTTTTGCTTGTTTTTCTTACAAATACATTAACATATTTAATTTATTATAATTATAATGAAACAAAAATGACTGAGCATAATGCCGACTTAGATATTAAACAAGTAATTATTATCGTGTAGGCCTTATCACAATATACTTTTAAAAACTGTAGTTTCCAATTTAACGATCTCCGTATAATATAAAGTACAAAATAAAAACGAAAAATAAACACGCTACTTTAAGCTTGCATTTTGCCGATATACAAGAAAGCTATTTACAATGTGAAATACATTTTTCTGCCTGTCCTCCTTATTATTTTTTCATTTATAACTTATTTAATGTTTACAGTTTGTTTGTTTTAAATTTATTTTTGATTCTCTTGTAGAGTTTCTAATCTCCCGGGTGTTCAGGGCAACTTCTATTAACTTCAAACCATCTGTCAATACAGCTGAAACAATAAAACAAAATATAAATTTAAGAAAAAAATGCAACATTACACAAGTGAAACAATTTTAAACCTTAAAAAACTATTGCAAGTATATAATTTAGACTAAATTCTCATTCAAGGGTTTATTTCTGATTTTAAATAAAAAGAAACTAAGGAATCGGCTATACATTTTTCCTTAACAGTTAAAACATGATTGTATTTGGAGGAGGTGGACCCTCTTATATGATATATTGCCGAGGTAGTTCGATTCGACCTCTCGATGCACCTGATGAAGCTGCTCATTAGGTTCGGATCCCCCTCAGTACAGCGGCTGACTGTCAACTGTCTGTATTTAAAGTATCAAGAAAGCAGCGCGCGTGCATGACAAACAAAAGAAAGGGAAAATCCAGGAAAATCAGATTTTTTACTTTTGGGATAGAAAAAAATTCACAAATACTCCAGAACTCAAAGCAGCAGAGACATCGTGTGGTTTACGTCTCGATAAATAATAACTCTATTTCAACTTTATCCAAATTTTAGCCTCTTCAAGAATAACCTGATTTTACATGTAATTCAAAAATTTCATTCATTTTTGAGCAGTACACCCACATGCACACTTAGTCAAAGAACACAAAATAAGAAGAGGTGAAAATTTGAAATAAAGTTATTATTTATCGAGATTGAAAAAGGCTTATTTCTACTAATTAATTTTTTATTTAATTATACTAAATCATTCTTTACTAACTAGATATTCCTTAAATTACACGATAGTTAACTTTTTTTATTGATAGAAAAAGAAATATAGATTCATTAATTAAGAAAAGAATAATAAAAATTTTTATTAGTTGTTGAAAGCTGGAGAAAATATGAGGCGATTATCTGGATTGATGGATTTAACCTATCATTATTTTAAGGAACTGTCAGCATATCAAGAAAATATAACAATATTAAATAAAATGAGTTTAACCCTTAGTCGTGGAAGTGAGATAATTTTAAATAACAACCTCAGAATAAAGATGGATAGATAGTAAAGAAAAGTTTTACAAAAATGCAGCATCTTCAGTAATTTTATATAAGTAGGCTTTACTACTTCAGAATAATTTTGTGAAAGTATTGAGATGAAACAACCTGCTTTCTGATTGATTAATATTGAATCATTTTGATTATAAAACTTGCTTTTGAATTGAATCATTCAAGCTTCAACAACCAATCCCAGTATTTCAGCAACTACTAGCCTGTGGTAGAGACATCTTAATATCAAATTATTAATAATCGTCTACAACTTGCGAGTGGTTTTATTTTATCATAACCTAACACACTCTTTTATCTACTAACATTCTCAGAAATAGATTACGTATTCTGATTAAATAAATTAATTTAATGAGGTACTAAAAAACTCCTGAATATCTTTTGTTTTCCACTTGAGTCGTAACAAAAAGGTACCCAAAAAAATCTCTTTATTTTGACATGCGGGGGGTGACAAGAGGGGGGTGGGAGACGAGATCACACCAAACAGCCCAATATCTTAGTTGGATACCTTTTTTTCTCGATTTTGAGATCAAATTATTTTACTATTCAACCTGAAAACAATGGGGCGATGGTGTGAGCAAACTTGCATTGTTTTGTGACAAAGGAAAATTCTCCATGCTCATCAAGCATGCAGTTAAACCTTAATAAATAAATAATTAAATGAAGAAAATAGTTTTACCTTTTGTGGTATATGCAGAGGCATGGAAGCCTGGCTATAGTGTCCCCTTGTGTCAGCTCCTCAAGGCATATCACGCATTCCCCCTTATCTTCTTTAAGGACATCCTCTGCAAAAGCACAATTATCGTTAATAAATTGTTACTTAGTCTTTAATCTGTTCTGAAACTTAAGCCAAAAGGTCTCCAAAAAATAGAATTATTTTTTTAAAAATTTTATTTGTGTTTTATCACTTGCTACAATCTACAAATAACTTTTCAACCATCAATAATTTCTAAATAATGCTTGGACAATTGGTTGTACGATAAGTTAACAAGGAGATGGTTCGGGAGCCAGATGGAAAAGACAAACTGCCAATTATTTATCCTATGCTACCATTTTGACACATGTAGCAGGTATTCATTAGGACTAAAATAAATGTATAAAGAAAGTGAAACTTTTGCAGGAATGGAAAAGTATTTTTTTTTAATTATATGAACATTGGTTATTTAGAAGTCTTCTATACTCTGTAAACAAGTCAAACTTGCACAACAATATCCCTTTAAGGCCTAGATGAGAACCTCTTTCCCACCATTTCTGCATGTGCGGCAGGAGGAGGGGTTGTTCTAGATATACAACCATATGGGGCGGGGGAAGGGGTTGTTCTATAGATATACAGGGCGGGGGGAGGGGTTGTTCTAGATATATGGGGCGGGGGGAGGGGTTGTTCTAGATATACAACCAAACCTATTCTAGCCAGAGTGGGAGGGTAGAGTTTCATTCCATGGGTCCGCTACGAAATAAAAGTCAACCTCTCCCACGTTTATCAACGTTTTATGGGAGGGGATATATCTATAGGTTGAGACCTGGTATTGAGAGATTAGATAGAGGAACGTAGAGCAAGGTATTTTGCAGGATGTAGGGAGGGTTTTTGGTTCTGAGGACATGGAAAAGGAAAGCGACAAGGAGAAATTGTCATCAGGAAGGAGGATAAAGAATGTACCAGAATGGAACATGAGAACGCCTGGGGATCCCAAAGATATATCTTATGAAACAGTTCATGAGTTTCTTCAGTCTCATTTATAGCCGGGCAGATAGCCCTCCATACACCAAACAGCTTTATTCGAAGTGGAGGAATATAAGAGAGGTTACAAGGAGCTGTTTGGTTTTTAGTAGAATACAATCACGGAATCTTAGGAGTTGTTTTAGGACAGTTATGGATTTTCGGGTAATCTGGGAGATATATTTATTCGAGGATAGGTTCTGGTCAAATGTTACTCCTAGGTTTTTGACTGTAGGGAAAAAATGGATGGGGCGGTTATTGGGGTAAAGTAGAGGAAAGTACGGAAGGGAACTAATGAGATGTCTGGACCCAATGGGGATAGTTTAAGTTTTATCTGCATTCAGCTTTAACTCATTTCTTTCTGCCCATCTGTTGATGCAATCAATATCCTCTTGTAGCTTTCGGGGAGCCTCAAGCATCTCAGAAGGTTGGAATGATTGGTTAATTTGGAAATCATCAGCATATAGGTGGTAACAGGAGTGAGGTGGGTATTTATGCTACATTTATCTGGGGCAGTTATGCTTAGTGTTTAATGTCGGAGAAGGGCAATCAGCAACTTGTTAGATCCGAGGCTTAAAATGTTTGTTAAAGTACATGAAAAACCATCCATTTATTTATTCTCCCTCTCCGAACAGGCTATTTCTGGTATACGGGGTTGTGTGTCTTACAGGAAATCATGCTGTTTAGCCAGAAGAGGATGGTTGGCATTTCATTATGTGGGTCCGCCATGAAATTAATTTCAGACAGCCCAAACTAGAATCAAATCAGCTTGTGCCTTAAGGATACTAAGGTAACACACAGGGCCTCAGGGTTAGCCATCCGTGATTATCATATGGTTAATGAATGGTTCCACAGCTCCTTTGATGGAACAGCAGCCCTACTTGAATAAAGTTGCAGCAGCTCAATGAATGAAAAAAAAAATTTTTAAAGTTACGAAGAATTATAAATGTGTTTAATTAATATCTCTATATGGCAATTGCTTTATAGGCAGTAAATCTAATTGATAGAACTGATTGATTAATTTCAAGCGTTGTTGAATCAGGAGCTGTTTTCTATATTTGACAAACATTTGTTCCAGAAACCACTTTCAAACAATGTTTAATTAAATCTAAGTAATTAAATTCACAATAGATTAAGGAAGGCATTGCAGCTCCATAGAACAAGAGAAAGGAGAAAATGTTGTTTTTTAATTTAAAACTCCATAACCTTAGCCAGTCCTTAGCTTGCCAAATTGGATATCATCCATCCATTTACTTCCCGATCTTTAGATGACTCCCATAATTTTTTTTTTTGTTCAGCTTAGTGTTGTAGAAGATGATAATAACAACATTACTTGAAACTGGAGGGGTACACATCTGAACGAATATTAAAACTCTTGGATATGCAGATGATATAGCAGTTCTTGGAAGCAATCGTGAGGAAATTTAGAAACTCGCTAAGACTCTTATAAGAAAAGCAGAGTGAAACAGCCTACAGGTAAATGAAGATAAAACAAAATATATTACATTAAGCCGTTAATCTCACCTCTATAACAGGATCTACGTAGAAGAGAAATTATTCCTGAAATTCAAATACCTCAACTCCAAAATTACCTCATTGAATGACCAATGTTAAGATATAGACCAGACCTGAAAAATCTCAAATCAAGAGTGTACTGCCAATACTGTCAAATCCAGTAATGCCAATAAAGCCAGTTCTCATAGACAGCTGCGAGACCTGAACTATAACCAGCACGCTCCAAACAAGTATTGAAAGATTTAAGAGGAAAATTCCCCAAATGATAACCGGAGTGATACGAGATCAGAATACTAACACATGGAGGAGAAAGAACAATAAAGATCCGCTTACAGAAACTGATCTAACAATATCACATGATATGAAGGCGAGGAGGTTAAGATGGGCAGGGTATACAGCACGGATCAATCCACATGGAAGTTTCTATGTAACAATGAATGCCTCAATAGAAGGCAAAAGAACATGTAGAAGGCTAAAAACCAGATGGATAGATAGAATCAACAAAAATACAGTAGAGCTGCTTGCAGATAACTTGAAAGAAATAGCCCAAGATAGGCAGAGATGGAAAAGGTTGATCGAGGCGGCAAAAAATTAGCAAAGTCTGTATTGACAACAGAAGTTAATTCTATCCTGTTATATGTAATTATAATTAGATGCATCCTAATTATAATACTGATCTCGGAAAAGGTAAGAAGAATGAAAGTTGAAGGATGGACTAAAGCTAAACAGGAAAATTAGGAAACAGAAGTGGAAGGTGTTATTCACAAACAAGACTGAATTAGAAGATGAGGAAAGTAGCAAACCCCTGATTACATCAATCAACACAATGGCAGAGCAAATGAGTTCACAGAAACTAACTTCAAAATTTATCATGAGAAAAAGATTACTTGTCTAACATCTTATGGTAACCTAAAACATAATACCATAAACTTTCAATATGTTCAACTTATACATCATGATTAATTTTTTGAAAATATTTATGTAAGATAATACAAAATATAAATAGCATTTGTAAGAAATATCTCAATTATTAAAAAAAAAAGAAAGATAAATCTGACAAATCATTAACAACTATGAGGATTGCTAATATAGAATAATCAAGTTAACGAAGAATTTTAAAAGTAATACATTTAAACTCACCATTATATATCAGTCTGGGTTTTGTTAGGCACATTACAAGATGACATTCTATGTCGTCGGGGAGTATAAATTTTGAACAAACTGGACATTTTATTCCTAAAACAATACAAAACATAGAATAAGAATATTATAAAATATTAAAAAAAAATGTTATGTTTTAAAAATACTTACAGATTTAAATAAAATATAAATAATTTTGTTAGAAAGTCATTAAAAAGATACATACATACTTTCCATGCAAAAATAAATTTTAAAATAATGTGATAATTTTATCTTGTCGTATCATCTTGGCCTGAGTAGTTAAGAGAAGTGACAATTTGACAGACGTAATCTTATACAATAAACAATATTGTTCATCTATGTAAACTTAAATACATAGTAATAATAATTAGTGCAATTACCTTTACACAGAACAGCTTTCTGAAATATTCGTTTCATAACTTGGCCCGTTATTTTTTTCTTATCCATTCTTTAAAAATAACGGTAAACTATCGAAATAAAATAACCAGAATCGTGTAATCGAAACAACCTATAGGACCTATAATTAGAAAAAACTGCTTAAAAATCTCAAAATAAGGGGAAAGCTCTCAAATATTGAGGTTTCAAGCAATGTAGGTTAAGCAGTAACAAAAGAAGATCCCGGGCTCAACTCAAAAAAGGTCACGTAATACTTAAAATCTTACTTAATTCAAAAAATAAATAACAGATTTTTTTTTTCTAGAAAGACATAAATTATATTCAGGTACATCTTATTATAACCATTAAATCAATTTTAAGTTGGAACAACAAAAAATAATTTATTGTTGGTAACATAATAACTTATTTTATTGTTGGTTTTTAAAATATTATATCGAATTCGAATAGACAAGTTGCTAAACTCAGCGCTGATATCATGGAAGAGCACCGGTAATCTATCTATGACTTAGCTCTCCCTTTGTATATTGGAATAAGAAAAAAAACATCTGCCGGGTAAGGTCAGTATAGCTTCCTCACCGTTTTCATTAGCTACAAAATATTTTTATTACAAGATCTAAAATTTTTCGTATAAGAATAAAAAGCCGTTTTCGGAAATTAAGTAATCCCTCAACATATACGTGTTTCAAGAGTTCCGCATTCGCAGATTGCATATTTGATAATTCGTGATAAAAACAAAAAAAAAATCAGGGCAAACTGAACATGCATATCAGTCTGTTAGTGCAATAGGTAGTGTGTAAAAATTGAGTGTTTTACAGGAGAGCATAAAAGTTAATAATTTTTTCATGATTTATTACCATGATTTCATATTTTATTTCCTTCTAATGTTTTTCATTGCAGCAGACTACTTATATTCGTTACAGATTCAACAATTTCAAATATAGAATAAAATTTAAAATTTGCACATACCACCTTTTGCACTAACAGTAGTTAATATATATTTAATAGGCATGTTTTCACACGTAAAATGGATGGAACAAAAAATCCATAGGAATAATTCAACTTTTTGTTTGTTCGGAGTAAACCGAGACCAATACTTTCCTTCAGTCAGAACAAAACTAATTTAAGCTGGAATATAAAAATATAAGTGAAGTTCTCACAACTTCGATGTTTAAGGATGAAATCGAGACCACGACGAGCTGGTTGAACTTCAATAGAAATAAACACAATCATAAATAGGACTACTTTTTTTTTTTTTTTTTACAAACTTAGAGTAAGAATCAATTTCAATTTATTGAAAATTAAACGAATTCTAAATAACGGCAGTAAGAATCATGCAAGTAACATTTGGAAGCGACCAACAATACACTATAAATTAACTTTTTGAAAAAAACCTTATTAAATTTTATAATCATAAAAATATTGTATTAACCTAACCCTCATTACAGATGATCAATGCCTTCCACATTTCAGATCCTTTATACTGTTAATAGTTATTTATTTTAATTTTAATTATTAAATGGAATTCAATGAAATTCATATTATGCAATTTCTATAATGTTCCTCAAGTTTGAGTCAAATAGAACGTTTTCAGACTATAGGTCTGTCAAATAATACATTTATTGATCCGAAAGCGGAAGTATTTTTTCTGAGAGTATTTGATAGAAATATATAAAATTGATTTCAATTACCTGTTAACCAATCCCTAACATTCCTTCGAATTTGAGCCAAATCGAACAGATATACTGACGTATTAAGGAAAACACGTTTACGCATATATAAGAGAAAGTAGAGGACAGATTTCAATGAAATTGATACTGCGTTATTTTCTTTATTAATACCTATCTTTTTTTTCAACGCTGAGCCAAATCGAACAAGCCGTTTCTGAAATATTGGCATATCTAAAAAAATATGTTTGCGCGTGTGCAAGCGGAAGCGCTGGATGGAATAGACGCAGACCCGCACAATCTCTGAAAATTTCATGAACATCAGATAAACGGTAATAGATGACATACCCATTTCATCGATTTGACTACAGACAGACAGACTGATAAACAGACGCCGAGCCAAATTTGATCCTTGATGTCTGAAACGTAAAACGCGAGTGAAAAAATTTCGATTCTGAGCATATATATTTTTTTAACCTCTTGCAAAAACCTACCTTCGGTAGTGAGGAAGCAAAGCAGTAATTTATAAAAGATATCATGAAACCGACATACCCAAAATTGTTGTTTTAATATAATATACTAATATACAAAAGATAGGAAATAAAAGAATGTTAATGTAAGCAAGTACAAATTAAAATTGTTTTCTACTTCCTTGGGGATCAGAAAACATTCCCTTCAGGTGAGAGACTGCCTGGAAGAAATAAACAAAAACTTCGTTACACGTTGTTTTTTATTTTAAAATAATATAAGTTCCGATAAGGTTTTAGAAATGATATACAATATATATTAAGAATATTAATTGTATTAAATTATTACAGGGGGGCCGCCATTGAAGCGTCAAAGTCCCCGATCAGTCCAACGAACGCTGGTTTGGCCTTTTCAATCGAGGCTGCACACTTTCTACTAAATACATAGATAGATAGAAAAAAAAAACACTTTATTCTGAGACTAAGTCCCTTCAGAATAACAAAATTGTACAAAAGAACTGAATATTACTGGCCTAAAAGTTTGAAACAATAAATAAAATAAACTAAAAAGTAAAGAAAACCTTAGGTGAAAAAGCTATATATAATACAGATAAAACTATGTACATAGTATTTAAACTATGAACAAATCACTTAAAAATATGAACGAATCACTTGAAACTATGAACAAAACTATATATAAGGGTTGAACAATATAAACATACACTTTGAGAAATGAAGAACGAAAAAGAGATAGAATAAGTTCATTTCATGAAAAAACTTTACTTGATATATATATATATATAAAAGTTAGTTATAATTGAATAAAAAAAATGTTAAAAAATAAATAGATGTATTGAAATCCCTGCATCCCTACTACGTCGATAGTAGGAAATGCATGTACTATCTCTTACCAAGTATTATCATATGATTATATGATTGCTACACAAGACATATATAGTATTAATAGTTAGCTGGTATCTAACTGTTTTTGGATCAGGAATTGGAATAGGAGGTTTTTGAATGTGTATAGGGAGGGGGCTGACGAATTTTGATCGGGAGGTAATTCCAAAAGTTGACAGAGCGGGCTATAAAGGAATTTTGGAATGAGGCAAATCTATGAGAAGGGATGTATAGGCTAGAGGGTCGAGATCTTGTAGTGAGGGAATGGATTGAGGACTTAAATTGGAGAAGGTTGTAGGCATAAGAAGGACGACATATACATAATGTATATCATTAGTAATCCTATAAATTGCCAAAAACTTAAAGTGAAATAAGGCAAAGTTGTTGCGTTTCCAGAAGTGACTAGAAGAGTGTTTGGATAAAATTTTTGAGAGGCATATTTAGGCGGGTTTTTGAATTTCTGAGGGGGACTTACGGATTTCGGAATGAAGTTTCATACTAAGGGACAAGGAGGAAACATGGAGGAAAGCTCTTTCATCAAGATGCAGGAGGTACGTGCATCCTTGTTGTGAAAGCTCTTTTATCAAGATGCAAGACGCACGTGCATCTTGCGTCTTGCATCTCCAGTGTGAAGAAGGCCTAAGTCCGCCATGAATCTCTTTTGTTTTCATTTGTTACCTTTTTGCCTCGTTCTGAAGTTTTTCTAACGCTCCCCTATTGGAAAAACTTCTCTGTTACCCGTTTTGAATTAAAAAATCTTTGTTGGGGATGGACAATATGACGGCTAGGTTCATACTGACATTATTCTACTGTAGAAGGATTTCGGTTTCACATATCACAATCACTTCGGTCACACTTGATCATGGACTGCCGAATGCAAGTGATCGGGTTCATCCGAAAGACTGTTTTGGACGTTTCATGAACAGGTGTGATCTAAGTGACCGTGAACCCGTGCGGTTCTCATCTAAATAATAACTCTCAACACGTATGTAACTAAATGAACAGCTGTATAATTTGTAAAATGATCGCCGAGCTCCTGTAATCTCTTACTGACCTAATACTAAAATAAAATAAAACATGAAAGTCACTGAAACTTGTTTTATATAATAGAGATATTTATTGTAGTTTACGTAACTCACGTTTTATGTAGGAATACATGGAATGGTCGGCTGGCACTACTTTTTCATTGGGTCGTAGCGAGGCGGGATAAGACGTGTTCATGGCTATGGCGGGAGTGCGAAGCTAAGTCTATATTCTACGCAATATAAGGGATAATTACAGAGACATATGTCACATCTGAACAGGTGAGAGGCTAAACATTAATAGCAACGAAGAATTTAACTGGTCTTATGAAATAACTATACAACTTAAAAATATTTGCATAGTGTTCATTTAAAGGCCATTTGACAACTACCGTAGAAGGCACTAGATTTATTTAAAGCAGTTGTAGTGATTTTATAAAAATTTTATAATAATAAATGTTATAAAATAATTGGAATTATGTTTTATAAATTACTAAATGTTCTTTCAGAAATTCCTAACCTTAACTTAATACAATACGAATACACAAATTTATAAAAATATTAGTGTCCAAAATTAGAAACATGAAAACTTGAAAACATCATTGTGTTGCTTTAATTTGATATTTTATAGTAAATATGTGTTGACGTAGAATAGAGGTTGTGAAATGAGCAACAATGTTACCGATTGAAATGTTGGTTTTCTGTTGAAATTCGTCAAGTCAGTGGAGTTTCTTTCCCTCAGGAAGGAATTCTCCCATTTCATGAAATGTAAACATTATGTATTTTACCAAGTCGCTCTGCCAGAATAATGGCAAAGAGAAACGAATAATGCTTTCTATTGTTATGGAAAATGAATAAATTTATTTCAAAGAAGTAACAAAGAGATAAGACAGAACGGTAGTTTGTCGGAACAACGTCTCTCCCCAGATTGAACAACAAGAAGGATAGGGTGATTTTTGGGGCCTCAGGTACTCGGCCACGAACGTCATCTACAAGGGAGTCGTGCTGGGTATACTGAGGTACACACCCCCAGCGTGGAGCTGCCGCCTGGATAAGATCCAGAAGAGGAAGATGGACACCATCCAGAGACTCGTTCTGCTGAGGACAACAAAGGCCTATAAGGCGGTGTCCCACGAAGCAGTGCAGGTGCTGGGCGGAGCGATGTCCCTGGAACTAATCCTCAAGGACACGATAAAGATCCACTTTGAGAGACAGGGGCTGGACACGCTATTGGAGGGGTTCCGTGAAAAAATTGGTGAGAACCCGAACCAATGAAAAAGCATTATCAGGGAGGATTCCATTGAAGAGTGGAACAGAAGGTGGGTGACAAGCCCGAAAGAGTCTACTATCAGGAAGTTCTTCCCCACCGTCCAGGCAAGATTCTAATCTGTGGTATGGGTCCTCCCTGATTACTAGGTCTCACAGGACATGGAGAGTTCCGGGAAAACATGCTACCCAAGGAAAGAATATTGACCACTCCCTGCGGGGTCCCTGAGGCGGCCCAGCACATCCTGTTATCCTGCACCGGGATGGAGAGACGCCGTGCGACATTGCTGAGAGGGATGAGAATGTATACCCTGACGGAAGATCTTCCCCGTTTGGTGGAGAAGGAAAATTAAAGGGAGTTTGTGTGTGGACGGAGGGATACGATCGGCCCTCTACATTTCTTCTTGGGAGCTGAAAGAAGACCACCTGAGGAGGCCGAAGAACACTGAGAAAGGACCGGACGGATGCGATGAGGACAAGGCGCGGCCCCATCATAAAATTGCACAACCGTGTACCGGGCCGCACTCCAGTTAACCCAGTTTTTTTTATGTTCCAAAATTTTCCTAAAATCATGTAAAAAATAGAATAAATGATTATTAATAAAGTATTGCTTATTGGCAGCATTGGGCATACGAGAACCCAAACGTATTAACTCACTGCTGCCAAAACCCCGTATGGCAGCAATGCCAGGTAGGGTGAAAAAAAAAAGTTTATCGGGACAATATTAACCCAAACCAGAAAGAAAAATGTAACTAATAGTTGCAAAGTGCTATTCCAATAATGCAGCTCGAAAGATCACGTCAATCATATTGTATCCCAAAAATAGCCTAATGTTCGAATGCTATGGCAGCCATGTCTTATAGAGAATGTTCTGGTTAGGACACGTCATCCGCACCTCAACGGGAGCAGATCATTTGGGTGCAGGTTTCAATCCTGCCCGCGGGACTTCTTGGAGGTCTCGGTGAGGCCCCTTGCACTACAGCATCCTTCCTTGTATGCCATAAATGGCGAAGCAGGCGATAAACGGGGGAAAAAGTATGGAATAAAACTTTACACATGTTTTGAGTAAAGACAATTCAAAGTTAAATAGTCAAAGTTTTAAATAAGTATATTTTATCTTTTGTTACTACTCTAATTCAGTTTAGTTTAGTAGTAGTAGTGCATTGTAAATATCAAAATTAACAGGACATTGTTCGAAGGATATGGTGTTATTAGCCTCATAACAGTTATAAATAGGGATATCAACCCCGATATATCGCTAACATCAATGTCCCATTTTCCATCTTTACAGAGATTTTGTCTACAGGGAATCTCTTTGAAAGAGTTATAATTTTTAAAAATTTATAAGGAAGGGGAACCAAACTAAATTCTTAATACCTTTGACATTCATATTGCTAAATGTATATCCTTCTATAGTGAACAGACTAAAGCGAGCTGAAGGACTCATACGCTATATAACAAAGGAATTTGAAAGATGCTATATCCTAATAGGTTATGCTAATTGGGAGATCGCGATAACATTACCAAATAGCACCGGACTATCTTCCGGTTTCTTCATCTAGGCGGAACGTACAACTCAATTGTTCAGGTTTGAACCTCTCCGCAGGAAACACGATCGCTATCTCAGTTAATATAATAAGTAATGGTATAATATCGTAACACTAAGGTACATATGTTGTAAACAATTTCAAAACAACTTGTGCAACATAAAAAAATGCGATAGGAAGGATAAGCAAAGGGGATTCGTTGAGATAAGAGGAACCTGTAGTTGAGATTAAATAAGTCATTTTTGTTCTTACCTGCAGGCCTTAGGCCAGTTTTAATTTTAAAATTCTTCATGAGGCAACGCCGGCTTCTAACACCAATTCATTTCACATCAGTTTAGATTAAAAATGACATGAGAGGCGTGGAGATCGAGAACGGACCAACCTCACCAGCTCTTTGAGAACACCCCTTCATATTATTTTAGGAACCCTTAGGAAGAGTTTTCCCCCTCATTTGATAACTTTTTCTGTATTTATTTATAACTTTCTAATTAGGAAACCATCGTTCTTCAGCAAGCATATGACGATCAAGTTGCCAGAGAGGTAGCGGATCAACACCATATGCTAAATTGGCGCTATCTTTAGTATGGTTTTGAAATTAATAAAGTTCTTCATATAGTCAACAGATGACTTCATTGGTTTTATTTATTTTTTCAAGATATAAATGGTGATTAATTCAAACTGTTGTGAAGACTAAAAACTTTTCCCTAATTTTTTTTTCATATTCAAGCTTTCCGTCAAAAAGGAATATTTTTATGAAACTCGATGAAAAAGACTCCTTTCAGCCAATGCGATGTTTCTTCTCCTCTTAATTACTGGCAAAAAAACGCGTTAAATTATGATTGGGCATCAATTAAGCAAACGGGACTGTTTTACTATGTTCAATTTACAATAACGTAATTGTTTTACAACCTCTCAGATGAAAAGAAACCTTTTTAATCAAGTTTCATAAAAGTAATGTATTTTGACGAAACGTTCGAGTGGAGTTAGAGGAAAGACAATGCATATTTCGCTAAAACTCCGCTATAAAAAGGAAGGTATATTAATTAAAATTAAAGAAAACATTTTACGTTCGTATCATTGCTAAAATAAGCATAAGGCTAGAAAAGAGACATAATTTAATTATATTATAAATGGAAAAATCGAAACTACAAAAACCACGAGCCTTCGACATAAAGATGAATAGTTAACTCGCCAATTCATGCATCATCAGATAATAAAAATCAACATCACTTATATGCAGAAATATAAAGACAAAACGAAAATAATAAAAAAACAAATCATTGCTGTAGACACCTTGCGAAGCCACCAAAATGCTTATTTTATTATTATTACTTGTGAAATGGCCGTGTATCCACTGAGTTTTGGTGTGTATGGATGTTATACACATTATACTTGCTTTTGCTAGGGAGTACGTACAGAAACCCTTAAGCTTTTGGGAAAATGTCATCTTTTCTGACGAAAGCAAATTTAATTTGTTTGGTTCAGATGGTCGAAGGACGATATGGCGACATCGTAATGAAGCCCTAAAGAAGCAAAATGTTTTAACAACTGTAAAGCATGGTGGATGACATGTTACGGTTTGGGAGTGTGTTTCCTACCATGGCGTTGGAAATCTTGTGAGCATCGGAAGCATTTTAAATGCGGCTATGTCTATGTGAACATTTTGCGACGTAATTTGCGTGTTAATGCCGAAAAAATGAGAATCCAGGATCAGTACTATTTCCAGCAGGACGACGATCCAAAACATACTGCGAGGAGAACAAAGGAGTGGTTAATATTTAATGTTCCAAGACAGCTCCACACTCCTCCTCAGTCACCAGATATAATTATCATTGAAAATTTATGGCACACCCTTGACCAAAATGTAAGAAAACACCATATAACTAGTGGACATCACCTTAAAGAACTTCTTGTACAAAAATGGGAACAAATAAACGTAGATTTAATTAAAAACCTAGTGCATTCAGTGCCCAGACTTCTAAAAGCAATGGCCTATTTACAAAATATTAAAACTATTAAAATTTAAAATAAACTTGTAAATGTGGAAGTGTGCAAATACTTTTTTCCAAGCACTTTTATTGTTTTAATTATTTTATTTAATTCTGAAGTGTTTTTATTTTTTTGTAAAAATGTTTTTTCAGTTTTTAATAAATTTACTTTTCATTTTTGTAAAGCAAAGCGAAGTTTTTTGATTCCTTGAACTACTTTATTCATAAAAACGTGTTGTGCAAATATTTTTTTCCATCACTGTATATACCTTTCAGCTTTTCCTTTTGAGTTTATTAATTGGTTGTTTTATTTAATCTAACACGTTTTGTATAATTACATATTAGCTATGCATATTTTTTAAAATCTTTTTCCCTTGTACCCCTGCTGATCAGCTGTTCAATGCTTCAACCTCCATTAGCAGTGTTAATAGAACCAACCACCTCTTTCCTTCAGTATGTATTTGGTTAACTTCGTGCCATATCTACAGATATCATTTTTTTTTTCCTTTCTTATTTTTCTTTTTCCAGATATGTGATCTTGGTTTTTATGCCCCGATGATCCCTGAATTGGTGAGATATTTATTCACCTGTTTGTTTGGAGAGTCATGGCTTTGTAGTTTGGATTTTCCCATTTATAATATAGAATATTTAGTAGTTGACCGTTGCATTATAAAGGAAGGATATGGTCCTGGATGGCGGTCATAAATAGGCTAAATATTGGTAAAACTATTTTATTGAAAACCGACGTTTCGACCCGACTTTGCAGGTCTTCTTCAGGGCTACAACGGACAAGATACAAAAATATAGAGAATAGTGGCAGTTACATAATATTTAGACAAAATTTATAAACAAAGTGAATAAGCTTATTAAAATTATAAACAATTGTAACAAAGTAAGCAAACAATTGTTAGCATCTATTTACTTCAGTTTAGGATCTTGTTACTTAGCTTACTTTGTTCATATTTGAATGTACTTAATGTTTTTAATTTTAATAAGCTTATTCACATTGTTTGATTTATTTTATTTTATATTTATTTTGTGAATGTCATCCTACCTCATTATAACTAATGTCCAAGAGACAGATTGTTGTAATACTCAACAAAAAATTCACATTGTTTATAAATTTTGTCTAAATATCATGTAACTGCCACAATTCTCTATCTTTTTGTATCTTATTTGTATCGTAGCCCTGAAGAAGACCTGCAAAGTCAGGTCGAAACGTCGGTTTTCAATAAAATATTTGTACCACTATTTAGCCTATTTATGACCGCCACCCCGGACCATATCCTTCCTTCATTTATAATATACTTCGTATTACTTTTAATGATAATCGAAAAGGATAATTTTTTATCAAATATAACTTTTACATAAGAATGAAATAGAGAATATTATGCTAATGTTAGTTATATTTTTGTACCATAGAGGACCCGCCGTATCTGGAGAAAGCTGTCCTCCGGCTGCGGCTCCTCCGGGACACAGGTGCCGACGATGATGCCCATCCTGAAGAGATCACACCGGCCGAGGCTCAGGACACCATGCTGAAGACCTGCGGAGGGTTCACAAAGGTTCTTACAGGATACGAGCGACATATTGGGGCTCGGAGCGGTGTGCGGTTATCTGCCAGTGGTTTTATAGTGAGGTAGCAATGTACTCAGTGTTGTCTTTCTATCTGTTCTCACTAGCAGTGGGTTCAGGGGTTGATTTTTAATTATTTTTTTGGAGAGGGGACTTAATAACGATAATTACTCTGGAAGAAGAAGAAGAAAAAAGAAAGAAACTGTATAAACTGATGTTTAAGAGGCCCAAGAAGGCCAGTTGGAACTAAAATCAAATCAAACGGTAATTACAGCAACTATAATGCTTTCAGAGAAAAGTGGTTTTTTTTTACAAGTTGTAACGAAAAATGAAATACAAAAAAAAAATAGTTCATAAAATAATTGCTAGTTTTATTATTAACTCGAAGAGGGTTAAATATAAAATTAAGTATTTAGTATTAGTTTTAATAATAAGTATTAGTTTATAATAAGTCTTAGTTTTAAGTATTCATTTTATTTCGGATTGGAATAACCAACAGCTGATTGGGAGGAAAAACAAAAGACAGTTGAGAGAGAGAGATGGCGGAACCTCGCGAGTGTTGAGGCACGCTAAGGATTTGGTTGTGTGAAATACTTTAGTTTTACGGTGTACACCGGATTTTCTTTTCCTATCCATGAACCTGTGACTATCAGCGACGAATGCCGTTTGATCTTACAAGTTGGTGAATGAACATTTTCACAGCTTGAGGAGATAAAGTAAGGAGACACTGACGACGCTAGTTCGAATAAGTTGCCGCTTCTTCAGATAACCCAATGTACCAATTCGACAGAGTTCAACCAGTGGGGTATTGTAAATATGTACATATAAGTTTTTCCTAACTATTTTTTTTTAAATGTTTGTAATTGGTTTATTGTACAGTCTAAGTTAATGTTTAGTTCTATAATAATTTTATATTCTTTTTTTGATAATTAAAGTTAATTGTATTTTCTTTGTTTTCTTATAAATGTAATTTCTTGTTCATAATTTTCATTTCCTTTAACAGTTATTTAAATCAATAGAAATAAGTAAATTCATCATTAGTATTAATAATAGCCAGTTTTATTTTCTTCAGTTTGTTTTCACGTTTTATGTATATATTATATCGTTTTTTAAGGATTAATAAGGAATTGTAAAACCCTATTCGAGGGATTAGGGAAAGTGATTATTAACCAAGTAAGAAGGTTCGATAGGTTATGAGGTTAATTAACATATGTTTTTAAAATCATAGGTTCCGAGTTCGTAGCTCACTCCGCGTCCTAATCTTTTTTTTAAATTAAATTTATTTTTATTTTTATTTTTGTGGTTTTCGCTATTTTCTAAATTCAACCACTTAGTAATAATATTTAATCGTCTCCACTGAGCATCCGGCAAGTTTGTTGCGGAAACAATTCTTTTAAATTAAAGACCGTAACAAAGTGCTTACAATCTATTACAGTAGCTGTGAATGCAGTATAATATTCAAACAGGCCATATTATGATTGTTTAAAGTATTTAGCTGTAATATAATATAAGTTAATCAAACACAATGGAAAAACATTGGTAGTAGATAACATAATATTTTACATTACACGTGTATCTTTCTATTTTCTCGCTAATAAGTTTTATTTATTTTTCTTATATTCGTAACGTTATATGATATTGTCTTTGCTCGGCCAATCGAAGGTCTAAAACAGAGCCCGGATCGCTGGCACAAAGAAAATATTTTTTAAAAAATTGTGTACTTCAAGGACTGCAAACCCTAACTTCTACTAAAAAAATGATATAATTGTTTCATTAATGATTTCTTAAGGTAATTGTATAAAACGAGTATTAGCGATAGCGAGGACTCACATAATAAACAGCTATACTTCTTTATAATATAATGTTATATTATCAAAAAAGTTTATTAAATATACTTAATTACTGAAGCTTACGTATTTTTTAATGTTGAACAAAATATGTAAAATTTACTAAATAAGTACACGATTAGCATGCTCCAATGTTAAATAAACCTTCCGTTTAACAGTTAACCTTCTCAATAGATTTTTTTGTTTTAAGATCAGACATTTTAAAAATGCGTTCCTGTTCCTAAAAAACCTAAAACACATACCTAGATAACAATTCCATGGAAACCAAGACATGTTTATATAGCGTTATCTGGAAAACGGTTAATTTTGATGTCTCTGTCGAAATATACACAAGACAATTTGTCACGTCTCCAACCGATGACAGCGCCGTTGAAGATTCTTTTACTTCTTTCAATGATTTTCATCAAATTTGTAGTAAGAATTTAAGGATCGAAATTACCTGTTTTTTCATTAACACCAATTGAATTCAAAATGGTTGCAGAATTTCGCGAAATCTCAAAACTTTGAACAAATAGTGGGTGAGGGCGAAAAAGTTGATATTCACAAAAACTAATAGTTTAACAGCAACTTAATTCCCATAAAAGTGTTACACCCTCTTAACTCATTTCAGAGGAGTTGTATAGGTGCTAAGAAACAGTGCGAGATGAAATTGCGACTCAAATTCACAACAACATTATAAGGTATTCAAGCGCATAGGACTCTGCTCTGTAGACGGTAAAACGAGTCACCAATAAAGTTGTTTAGCCACCAGATACTTATTTTGGTTTAGTATTTTTAATAATGAACCATTGTAACAAAAAAATAAAAGACTTAACTTCTACTCTTAAAACTAGAGGTTTTACGTTCCAGGATACTTAGAATTTGAAAATCGCTAAAAAAATATTTTGTCCGTCCGCGCATTTTTTCCTAGACTACTGGGCCGATTTTTTTTTTTTCAAATTTAGATTTGAGATCACACGATGATGATTCTCCTACATCGAGATTACTATCCGCCTTCTCCTTTCAAGATGGCGGCCGAAAAAACTGTGTTGCTATAGACTGTAGTACCTAAACGAATCTACCTATCTAAATGAAACTTAGCTAAAATCGTTATCTGGACGTTCTTTAAATTTATCTATATAACGTACTTCAATGAAAAGAAGCTGGAAAAAAGTAACGAGGGGTAATAAAACTAGATTCCGTATACCTCAAAAAGTATACACTTTTCTGTCGTTGTTGTTATGGTTAATTAAAAGTTTACAAAATTACATTAAAAAAAAAATCATTAAAATCGGACAATCCGGAGCAAAGATATGGTCCCTGTATATTTTTTATATGTTCTACTGCAAGGTTATGTTCTAGGTTATATCCTTTGTTTTGGGTTTTAATTTCTGAAAGTGTAACTGAAGTAATGTTATTTTTTTCTAGCAGATTACTAATGATAAAAAAAAGTTGTTTAGGCTAATAACATTAATCACCTTTTATTTCTTTTCCTTTGTTACTAGAAAGGTAATGTTACTTAAGATGTATAATTGTTTGAAAATAATAAACAAAAGTGAAACAATTTGTAGCCTTTTAAATTTATTAAAAGCATAAGCCTTTTCCGAAACCAAAACTTCAGCCATCGAATTTACATATATATTTTGATTAGAATAGAAGTTAGAATACAAGAGTTTTCATAAACCTAAGTAGGAATTTGACCATAAGAAGGTCATCAAATATTGTGCCTTTTACATTTTTTATATACTTATAAAAAATACATTGAATATGCAAATTTTCCGATATATCCGATGTACATGTAGTTCCCGTCACCATTAGTTATGAATTATTCGAATATGTTTCTTAATATAATCTTCTACAAAACTTATAAATGAATTTTATTCATCCATGGTTTTTTCTAAACAGATATTAATGATAATCCGAATCCCAACTAGAGTATTAAAATACAATTATATATGTTTAAGCGTGTATTAATTTGTCAAAGTTAATTAATTTCACCTCGCCTTTTAGATCTCATAGATTTTTAAAGACATTGCTCCTGAAAAAACACAAGTAGGTAACCGGTTCTATGTAACCGAACCGTGACTACTAAGGTGAAAGGGTTACTAACGGTCACTGGACATGTTCAGACTACAGTAGGCACCCAACGGTGCGGAACATCTTCGGTAACCGACTGAGGACCTGAAAGCTAGGAGCAGCTTCGTTATGTATCAAGTATAAAGGAACGGTGAATCTTTTTTTTTTTCTGTTCTCCCCTCCCTCGCCTTACAATGCTAGATGGGGTTTCCAGGGCCATGGGGTGAAGGCGGGAGATTAATGCCAGAGTTAAAAAAACCCACTGGCACCGAGACTCCAACTCGTACTTATTTTATTCCATATAACTTTGGTTATGAGGACTCCGGGCTATGCACACGCGTCAGTCCGTTCGGTCACCTCACCCAGGGGTGAGGGAGTTTAATGGCGCTAGTTGAATTTTCGAAGGGAGCACATTTTGACGGGGTTTGGAATATTTGAGGGGGGGGGACACACATTTTGAGGGAGTTATGAACATTCGAAATGAAATATTTCAAACCAAAAGGACAAGCAAGGGATAGCCTGGATGATGTATATAACCTGTTATGTATAACATACGATTTTTCAAATTCTACTTTCTCTTGCACTGTTTTTGAAGAAGAGAGCAATAAAATATTTTGGAAGGGGTAAGGGAAGGATTATGTGCAATCGACTATTGCACCGTAGAATAATCTACAGTAAAATTTTTATAATATGGTATATGCACGTAAACAACCTCATTCTCGGAATAAAAATAGAACAATGTTTTCCTCATCGCTAGAACTGCTCAATTTTGGTACCTTCTTGGTTGAAGGCCGCTAGCAGAGTGTAAGAAAAATTTGCTTAGTGAGGGGTGAATAAATCGCAGAAGACCGATGATTCGAATAAGACGGCCGAAATGAAATCTTAGCTCGCCTGGTTAACGAAAGTCATAGGCCACCTAGGGCTAACGCGGGACTATCATATCTTTTCATCACCTTCTGGCTTCTGAACTAATCGCTCCTAATATAAATTGGAAAGATGGCTACCAGAGGCTGAATCACTAACGGTTACGAAAGACCCGATAGACCTGATTAGAGTCCAATACAGTGGACTCATCGAATAGAAGTGCATTACTCATCAATTCAACACTCTTGAATTGGGAGCGCCCTTATTGGAGACAAACAATACTGAAGATATGATCACCGCCTCAGGCCATGTTGGCATTCGTCAGATCAATACTATCAAACAGAAAATGAAAAAAACTAATAACAATTATAATTTAGAGGTTTTATTGCAAAAAAGTAAGATTTTATAAAATGGAACCAGTATTTTGATGAATTTTCTCTCTAGTGTGAAATGAGAAAATTGTGTACCTGGGGCGATTAGTTTGGACGAGTGAAGGATTTAAGGTGCTTGTGTCACTTTGATGTATTTATCGTGTTTTTCAGCGACAAATAAGGTAGAAATCCATAATTAATTGTTAGTTAGAACATTCTCAAACCAAGCCCACGTGTTATCAAAGAAATCTATACCGGATGCAAATAAATTATCATTTCTTTGAATCCGACGAATGGAAATAACTGAAAAAAAAAAAGCCGAAGATAGACACTAACTAGAAAATTCATTTAACTAACCACGGTAGAAGAATTGATATTTCCATTTATTCAATTTATTTATAAAGGAAATTAATTTTTTTTTATACGCCTATATGCTAGAAAATTGATATTGATATTTCAAAAATGTTTATAATACATACTAATGATATTTTAATACCTCTATTTTGCTATTATCGATAGTTATAGAACGATATTAAATTAATGCCTTCGGTATCCCTACCATCAGTAGCGTAGCTAGGCGCCCCAAGCAACATTTTTGTCTCCCCCCTCCCCAATACAGTTTCAGGTTATCCCGTCACCAGCTCCCCCCAACATCCCGTGATTCCTTCGTACTTCAAACATCCTTTGAACAATTTATTTATGCCTTTGTCAATTAGAGTCCGTCAAAACGCTCCTATGAATGGGCAAAAAGCGGGTCTGCCAATTTTTTTTTGTTATAATTGAGTTATTTGTATAAATAAATTCAAAATCACACGCTGCTGCGATCTTCCAGTATTTGAAATGAAAGAATACCACATATTGTAAATGCATTTATTTTTTCTTGTTTAAAATCCCTCTAAAATGCAGTTTTTATTCAAATGTACCAGTAGCTCAGAAAAAAAGGTACCTATTTTTTCCTTTTCTTTTCTTATGTAAATAATACTAATATCAATAACCATTTATACTGATATCTGAAACAATAAAGACTTTGAGTTGGCATCTTTCGGCATAATCTTCCAAATAGTTCTTAATTATTTCATGTGTTTTATTATTATTTTTTTCTTTTTGTAAGAACGATCCTTAATAAGGAAGAAGTCAAAATGAAAGTTCCCTTCGACCGCAGACATTTAACCACCATTCAGATGTTAAAATATTCAGAATCCGATACGACCTCGACCGCCTGCCGGCTACCGGTTCATAAGAATGCAAATAACGTCAGGAGGGGAAGGATCAAGAAGCGCAATCGCATGCCGCCGATGGACAGTCGATCGCTAAAGTATCGATTAATAAACAAGAGATAGAAAAATCTATTTCTCGAAAGACTGCCATGGCAACCCGAGACGAACACATCATTACCGATCGCCGACGCCTTCGCTGAAAGGACGTAACAGAATAGCAAATGGTGATTCAATTATGGATGGGATATTCTGGTCTTACGTCATGACATACATAGCCTAAACCTATTTCCTTCCACCTTCCAATATACAATCCATTGTTCTCCATGAGTAACTGGTTCGTTTCCATTGCACCTCACCACTGCAAGACTTGAGAACTTTATATTTATTCCATATGATAGTTCCTCGAAATCGTTCACTAACATAATTGTTCGTACTGAAATTCGAGTTTATTAAAAATGTAATTACTCGATTAGATTTTAATTAGTTTTTTCAAGGAACAAGTCTCGCATTATCATAGATATCTAACCTCCTCTTCCTGCAAAATTTGAAGTATAAGCGATATTATAGAAACATTTTTATACCTAAATACAAAATAATGACGCACAACTGGCGAAGCTAAATAAAGTTTCAGTAATTAGCTTGGCCCAGGGGAAAATACCCAACTAATTTATTAGATCAGAAATAAGGATCAGCTGTTCGTAAACTGTTCGTAAAATCGTACCAGCCAAGAGCCAAGTAGAAATTTCGTGACTTGATTGAATAAAACATTTGTTCATTCATCGGGTACGGCCATTATCGGCATTCGACTTGTATCAGCCCGCCAGCTCAGAGTGGAGATGTTTCGAAATGGCGCCCGTTGAAAGTTGGGATTCAAATTTGCAAACTTTACATTGTATCTTCTAAAGGTCTGATTAAGATTCAGAAAAGTAATAATTGTAAAAGTTATTGATGTTTGCGGAAGAGAAAAAGATTCTGACTATTTTAAAACAAAAAAGTCACCATACAGAAACTATTTTCTGGTAGCTTTTAAAACATCATCTCGTAGATCAAGTAACTAAGATTAGTGATATTTTACTGTTTACTTTTCTACTACCAGTATGTAAGGAAAGTTGTTGTTGTTTAGGGCTTGGAGGCGTAAAGCCCCGAGGTAATCAACGCCTATCTAATCTTTCTTTCAATTCCATCAATACCAAATTATTTTTGGGGGGAAGAAAAAAAGTAAATGAATAAAAAAACAACTCAAATTTAAATTCTGTTGAGCAAATAATTAACTTTAAGAAAATTTATTATCGACCTTATTTTAAGTTCATCATTATTTTTAAATATCTGGAAGTTTAGTCCTGATTTGGTTAAAATTAGTGTTGACCAAATGCGAGACCAAGACGATTCTTGGTCAGTTCAAGACGATGAAGAGTCAGGCAACAGTCTTGCAATTACCTATTAGCCTATTACTATAGAGATATTACTGTAATTTTTCAGATAGAGAAAACCTAGCTAAGCCCGAATGAAAAATTGGAAGAGTAAAATGCAAAAGTATATTGGTTATATTAATTCTTTACATATTAATTGTTAAGTATCAAGTAACCTTCATTTTTATTCATAAAAACGATTTTTTTTACCAGTCTTGGTCTTGGTCGTGCAATAGTCTTGGTTTTGCAAAGTTAGACATTTTTGTTTATTGACATGTGTTTATATAACAGGAGGAAAGAAAGATGTTGAGAATTCCTGTCAGAGATTATACTGGTCACTTGCCGCATATCTGTTTTAAAATGATTTATAAAAATATGTTTTAAAACAAATATGACCTTAATTTTTGTTTCTAAATAAAATTGCGTATGATTTTAAAGCCAAAGCCCAAGTTCACTTAAGACTTTTACTAACAATAACGAGCCAGCAATTTGCATTAACTATAGAACTATATATATATATATATATATATATATATATATATATATATAAAACACCGCTTCACCGTAACGAAAATACTATTCCCGTTCATAAAAATAATAATAATACCAGCAGTAAGGCGGAGAGAGGTCAAAATGAAGAAACCTAATTAACAAATAAGGTTACGAGAAGCACGGAATTTTCGCATCAGTTGTATTCAAATTTTCTCGGGGGTTATCCCTCAATGAATGAATTTTTACACACGCGATACCTTGCTAATCCTGTAATAATTTAAAAAAGAAATATGTTTTCATTAAAACAGTAGCTGTTTTCAAGATGGAACGATCTCTAAGCAGATTATCCGGTGTGGCACCCGCAGACCGATAAGAGCACCGAAGGGAAAAAAAGATATCACCTTATCTCCACCAGCCCTCGCATTATCTACCGTCCGTTATCAGCTAAAAATATTTAAGTATTTGTTTATCATTAATGTTTATATATATCTTTACCGAATCAACTTTTGAATAATTTAATTTTGCATCATCGAAAAGTAATATTGTAACGACTTCAAAAATATTTATATGAAAATAAATAATGAAAATAAAATTAACAGAGATTCAACTGTTTGAACTTAATAAAAAAAAAAAAAATCCTCAGCTTGTTAATACCAGTAATGCAGCCGAGTAAGAGGCCCTGGGATCTCCTAGAGTCCTGCCTTTCTTTCCACGAGTGGGAGATCTTCAGTAAATGAATTTTGTAAATATTGTATAAAAACATGTGTATATTTAAATAGAAATTTTGATTGGTTTAGTTTATATAAATTTACTTTTACAATTATTGTTTTTCTGTTTATTTATTGTGCATAGTGTGAATGAGCTACTCTTCTATCGCTATTATTATTGCCCTGAGATGTGACAGATTGTAATATATATATCAATAAAAAATACGATTTTTACGATTATGCAACTAAATTTTTAACATATTTTTTCAAAAGGATTTTGCGAACTATTTAATGTGCCATATGCATTACTTTGAACTGTTTGTATTGTATCACAACAGAAGATGATTATTTATTGCAAAACATCGAATAAGTCATTTTAGTTTGTTTGACGTAGTTTTATTATTATTATTATTACTTTATCTTTTTATTTCTTTTACTTATTTCTTTTTTTCTTTTTTTTTTTTATCCGTCGAAAACCGCATGTCGGAAATTTGATCCGATCGTAATACTTTCCTTAGCAAGTATATGTAGAAAAGTAAAAATATACGATTAAATAAAATTAATTATAATTTTGAGCGATGTAAGTCGGTGAGTCACTTTGCTATCATGAAAGATATTAATTCTGTAATATCAGCCGTGGATCGACCCTTGGGTTCGTAGACCTTTGTTTGAAATGACCAGCATCTATGAAGTGGATATTCTTAATTAAACAATTAATTATGGGAAAACAGGGGGGTTGTGCGTGACCTCAAATCAAATCATCTCCCTTGCACAACCCTTGACCAAGAACCATCCATGGGTTGCAATGGAAAAAGATTTTCACTTTTATGAATATTTGTGAAATTATTAAAATAATAATATGACCAGCTACAGCTCTATTACCCGCCACGTAGGAGATAGACTGATCGATTTCATCAGACCTTTCATGATACACAGCCATAGAGGTCAACTATAAATTAATAATAGATGTATTATTTGATAAGAGCGTGTTATAATAGATAACAGGACCAGGGGAGAGCACGCGAGTGGGCATTAACCACGGTTCGATAAGCCCTAATGACAGTGGCATGCGGCCTATGGGTATCCATGGCACCATGGTATTCGGTTAATATCTGCAGCAGGAACATCAGCGATACTTTTGTTGTGTTATCATCCCGAAGATTTCTGCCAATCACAGCTAACTTCTACACACCATCCTCTTTAGAAACTGGGGCAATCCTGATCTAACCCCCGCAAACAAATATCGAATCGGGCTGGTATTTTATGAAACGAATACTTTCAAACTAACTCCTGAGCTACTATTATACACAAATAGTGAAGATTTAAATAAATGAAATTCTTTCACTCTTCTAAAGTGAATCAAATAAATGAATATAAAAAATGGTAAATAAATAATAAATTCTTATTATTTCTAGTTATAGTTCTATAACTTTAATATAATTAATATTATTAATATGTGAAAAAAAATAATCCGAAATTAGAACTTGGTGATAAGGATCGATTATTGTTAACCAATAGCCAATTCAGGATTTCATTTTTGGAAGGGAGTGGCTTTTTTTTTATTATTTACTTTAGAAGTGAAAAATTTCTTTAGGTTCGTTTTGCGCATCGTCAGATCACCAATGTGTAACGCTCGGGTAAAATCGGCTGGAGTCTACTAATTGATGTTTTTTTTTTCATATCGATTACAATATATAAAAAACTAAAAGTCGAACCTGCATATTGTTAGCGAGAAAATATTCATCGTTTCCTCCTCCTTGTAATGAGCTATTATTCAAAATTGTATAATGAAGTGGCGCCCCATTGGAGAGGATAAAAGGGAAAAAATAGTGCCAAAAAGCAAATTATAATGAGTTTTATTGAAGACATGGATTAAAATATCTCAGAATTTTTATTTTTATTTTATGTCGACCATTGCCGTGTAAGAAAATAAATTAGCATTACAAAATAATGTTTAAGTTGTTCTTAAAGGCATTTTTAAAAAAAAATAATAATAATTGGAAGAGTAATGCTTTTAGGAATAAATTTGACTCTTGACAAAGGCTTGGTTCTATGCATTTCGTAACCGTATATGCGTAACGTTTTTAAAACTGTTCCTGTTGTGATTATTTTGTATTTAACTCAGATCATTCACAGAAGCAAATATAAAAAAATAGGGAAAAAAAAAACTATTTTGAATAGCCAGGGCGCAGTCTATTTAAAATTTTTATTGTTGCCGACGTTTCAAGCCAAGCAGGTGGGTCGTCATCAGGGCATGTTACCAGCAATAAAGCATATTATTGACCTGCCTAACCTTACACATTCGTTATTTTAACATGGTGCCGATGATAGGCGACTAACTTTAGCATAATCTCTATAACCGAGGTTAAGCTAACTTTATAAATAACAAAGATATTTAAGGAAATACGAATCAAACTAAATTCTGTTATTGTTAGATCTCTAGTTGACCTCAAATGTGTCAGGAACAGGAATAGTTGCCAAGAAA